CTTGTTTCTATTTGAGCTTATTATGGAGAAAGACCATGCCAAATGAACTTTGTATCCATGAAACTTGGCACAGTGTCTAGCTCATTACAGGTGTTCCAATGCTACTTGTTAATGAATTAAAAAAAAAAAAACACAGAGAGGATATGTAAGTAATAGTAACCACTGTATACTAAGAATTTTATAGGTGCTGCCCGTTACTCTTATTAGTGTTATAACCTAAAGATGATTCTGTTATAACTTAAAGACCATGTAGTATTTTCCTCGAGTTATGTGCACTCAGACAGGTGAATGGAGATAACAAAGGCTGAAAAGCAGCAGTCAGTTTTGGTCATAGGGACAGGACACCTGAATCTAAAATCTAGAACTTCTGTATTTATTTTTCTACACTCTATGGTGCCCTGGTCACCAGCAATTAGAGTGTAAATTTCTGATAGATAGGATCCTGTTTTTATATTCTAAAACATTTAGACATTCAAGGAATAGTTACCACAATGTGTTGGTCAGGGTTCTTTAGAGAGATGGCCAATAGATAGATAAGTAGATATGAAGATATATATTACAGAATTAGCTCACATGGTTAAGGAGGCTAAGAAGACCTCTAATTTGTCATCTGTGACCAGGAGAACCAGGAAAGCTGGTAGTATAGTTCAGTTCTAGTTCAAAGGCCCAAGAATTGGGGGGCTGAAAATGTAAGTCCCAGTTGGGGGGCTGAAAATGTAAGTCTCAGTCAAAATCCGAAAGTTCAAGGACTAGGAGCACCAATACCACCATTCGAAGATGAGTATCTAGGGCCAACCTGCTGTGGTGGCTAAGGCGGCTGGATCCCACATGGCTGACTGTGCAGTTTGAGTCCCAGACCTAGTGGCTTGAAAAATACTTTGAGCATGTGTAATACATGCCCGACATCCTGAAAGGAGGGAAAAATGGAGAAAGGATTACAGTGTGAATATACTCCATGGGGAGTGGGGGATACTTTCTTTTCTTTCTCTTTCTGTTTCTTTCCAACGAATGCATATACCCTCTGGCAAAATTTTAAAAAATAATAAAAAAGATGGGTATCTAAGCCCAGGCAGAGAGTGAATTTGCCCTTCCTCCACCTTTTGTCCTATCCAGGCCTCAATGGAATGGGTGATGATCACCCATATTGGGGCAGGCCATCCACTTTACTCAGGTCATCAGTACAAATGGTAATCTCTTCTAGAAATGCTCTTACAAGCACACCTAGAAATAATACTCTATCTTAGTCTAGTCAAATTGACACACAAAATTAGCCACCCCATATGGTTTAATTAATGAGGCTTGGTCTCAGGGAAACTACAACCAATTAAAGATGGGAGAAACTTTACAACACAATAGAAAATGTAGAAATATTGAGGGAAAAAAAAACTTTCAGAACACAGAAAATAGGTAGTTTTTTTTTTGTCATTTTAAGAGTTTATTATTGATGTGCAAATGAGCTGAACAGACAACTCTCTAAGGAAGATATGCAAACAGCTTTTTAGCTGTTTATATGCTTTTTAGCATATAAAAAAATGCTCCACATCCCTTATCATAAGGGAGATGCATATCAAAACCACAATGAGATACCATCTAATCTGTCAGAATAGCTAAGATTAAAAAGATAAACAATGATAAGTGCTGGCAAAGCTGTGAAGAACAGAGAACTCTCCTACATTGTTGGTGGCAATGTAAACTAGTCCAGTCACAATGAAGAATACTGAGGTTCCTCAAAGACCTACAAAAAGGACTACCATACAATCCAGACCTACCAAGAACTACCATACCTTTCCACTCCTATGTATCTACCCAAAGGATACGAAAATGCTTAGTTGGAAAAGTGCTTGCACATCCTTGTTTACTGCAGCATTATTCATGACTGCTAAGACATAGAACCCAAATATTCATGAACAGATGAGTGGACTGAAAAAATGTGGCACATATACATTACGGAATACTATTAGTCATAAAAAAAAACCCCTGGCATTAGATAGAAAGTGAATGAATATGTAAAATTTACTAATGAGTGAAGCAAGCCAGACAATGAAAGTGAGACATTGTATGTCCTCACTTAATACCAAATGTTTGTACTCTATAGTGGCAACTGAAAGATTGGAGGACATAGAAGCGTGGAGAATAGAGATGGATATTGGAGACGAAGTGGGAGAAGGGTGGAAGGTGAGAGAAGGTGAGAGGAAGGGAATCAAGGAGAAAAATAGAGGCAAGACATTGCCTCTATTCCCTCCATCCAGAGGATTGTCACTTGATAGTATATATGATAATATCTTTAACTAGACTGGTGTGCAGTGTATTTATGCTGGAAAAATTAATTTTACAAGCTGTTGTGATATACAGTGATTGAATATATAAAATTAAAAATTAAAGAGAGAGAAAAGCTTGATAAACTCTGATGGTATCTTAAGACTGGCTGCTGTCTGTCCTTGTCCAGCCCCTTTTAAAACCTTAATAATCACCTTTACTGTGGACAAGACTCTTAGTCTTAGTTTCTAATCCTTGATATATCACTGTGCTTTTTAGCTGGAATTCAATATTACTGTTCTGCTATTTGTTTTTATGATTGTCTTTTATTTAACTAATGCTGGATTTTTTTTATTAATAGTTAGTAATATAAAATTTTCTTTTATACTTACTTTCAGTAAAACCTTAAGTAAAAATTAAGTAAATGATTAAAAAGAGATTACCACCATCATTATTATTATTACTATTATTTTTTAGAGATTTTTTTGCTATAGAGTTCTTGCACCCACCAGAGAGACAGAGAGACAAAGAGACAGAAAGTGACACAGGGACAGAAAGTGAGAAATCACCCACCCCTCCCCCCTCTGGGATGGGAGGGCCATGACGCAATCTCTTCTCTTCCATTCTTCTCTCAGGACTTTGAGCATGCAGGCACACATGCCTGGCATGAGTTGTAAGCCGCCAGCCTGGGACTCAAACCATGGTTGACTACATGGGAATTCAGCAACGTAACCATTATGCCATCTGGGGGTTCCACTATTATTATTTAATTATTGTGTCTACTTCTTTTTTCTTCTTTAAGGAAAGAATTTCATTGTGTTACAATATTTCTGCCTGAGCCTACCATGTAGCTGGGAGTAGAGGCATGTTCCACCATGCCCTCTCTTTAGGGTGGGTGGGAATTGAACCTGAGCTCCCATATGGTGGTCTCAGAGTGTGGAGTAGCAGTGTCCTGCCAGCATGTCCCACTATGGCTAGGCCAGAATATTCTGTCAATTTTCATTGAGTTCATTCACTCATTCAACTTAAATTGAGCACCCATTATTTATTTCTTTTTGTATAATTATTTTATTTAACTTTATTTAATATTATTATTTTCCAGTTCGGTCAGAGAGAGACAGAGAGAGAGGTGAAGTAAGAAAGCAAGCCACCAGATCCAAGACTCGAACTCTGGTTGCCATGTGGAAGTCTAGCACCTTTAACCACCATGCCACCTAACGGCCCCTAGTACCATTACTTACTAGGCACCATCCTAGGGAAACATAGTGTTCCGGGAGCTTTCTGTCAATCAGAAGAGACAGATGTTATACAGGTAATCATAGGATTATGATTGGGAATAATTGCCAGGATGATAAACACAGTGTGTATTTAGAGTGTATTATAGACCACTGTATTCCCACCAGACTGGTTAAAACTAAAAACCATGACCACGCTATAACTGTAACTTTCAAGAACTGCTGGTGGCGAGACCAGCGGTTGGTGTAATGGTTATGTTGCTGGACTCCCATGTAGTCAACCGCAGTTCAAGTCTCGGACCCGGTGGCTTAAACTCAAGCCGGGTGCATGTGCATGTGTGCCCAAGGTCCCAAGAGGAGAATGGAGGAGAAGGGATTGCTGCGTGGCCATCCCCCTGAGGGGTGATTTCTCGCTTTCTGTCTCTCTCTCTCTCTGTCTTTCTGGAGAGCGCATGTGCCCTATAGCAAAGATCTCTCCAAAAAAAAGCAAAAAAGAGAAAAAAAAGAACTGCTGGTGGCAATTGAATATGGTTAGCCACTTTGATACAAACGGTTTGGCAGTTTCCTCTGAGGATACATTATATATATATATATACACACACACTTTAAAAAAAGAATTTTTTTAAAAATTTATTATTTTAAATTTGATCAAAGAGAAACATAGTAAGAGAGAGAGAAAGTGAGAAAGCAAGCCGCCAGGTCTGGGACTCAATCCACCATGGGCCATGTGGGAGTCCAGTACCCTTAACCACCATGCCACCTGCCAGTTCTGATATATACATACTTAAAAACGAATTCTAGTAATTCCAGTATTTACCCAAGAGATATAAAAACGTATGTCCACACAAAGACTGTACACTAACTACCGTTACAACAGTTTTATTCAGAATTAACAAAAGCGGGAAACAAGTCAACTGTTTACCAAAATGTGAGTGGGTCAACACATCCTGGTGCTTTCATAGAATGGAATACTATTCCTCAGAAAAAAAAAAAAAAAAAAGAATGAAACACTGACAGCACAGGATGAACCTCAAAACATTGTTAGGGGGCCAGCAGGTGGCGTGGCAGTTAAGGGCACTGAACTTCCACAGGGCTCACAGCAGTTCGAGGCCTAGATCTAGTGGTTTGCATTCGCACTTTCCCTTTCTCTCACTGGCCAAAAATAAATAAATAAATAAATAAATAAAGTTAAATAAATAAATAAATAAATAATTCTTTTTAAAAATTATGCTAGGAAAAAGAAGCCAGATTCAAAAAAAATACAGACTATATAAAGTTCAGCTCAGGACCAGAGAAAACTACGCTAAGATAGAAATCAAGCTAGAATTGCCTGGGAGGAGAAGGCCAATGACGAGGTGTCTGGGAATTTCCTGGGGTGATGGACACGTGCGAAGCCGTCTCTGGGGAGTTACAGGGTGCAGACATTTGCTAGAAGTCATGGTGTGTACACTCGAAATCTGAGTATGTGACTCTAAATAAACTAAGCATGTTTTAAAAACACTACTATACCGTGACTGTACGGAGGCTGAAGTCAGGTCACGATGCCTCGGGCAAGGAGGAATATTGAAGTGAATCCCGGTTTAAAGATACGGCAGTGGGGGGAGGCAGAGGGGAATTCCGAGCACCAGAAACTTTCCCAAGTGTCGATTCGAGCGGAGGGAAACGTGGACGCGCCCAGACTTCACAGCGTGAGGCCCGGTGCTGCCGGAGAACGGCCCGCCTCCCG